TTTTTTGGTGGGGGGGGGGGGGGGGGGGGGTACCTCGAGCATTGTCAAGCCGTCCGATGTGCATTTTAAGATGAGAGCATGCGCATAACATCATCAACATGACGTACAAATAAACATCCATACAAGGACGCATATCTATCTATCTCTATCTGTCTATCAGATTGTTAGGAGCCCTTTCCTTTTTTTTTTTTTTTCTTTTTTTTTTTGGTTTTTGGTTGTGGGTTTGGAAACTGGCGTGTTCCTATTTTTCATGTCGATCCCTTTACTAGTTTTGGCTTTTGGAAGTCTTTTTTGTAGAGGCTATCTGGCCAAAGAATATGACGATTGGTATAGGTAGACCCTTTCTTTTTTGGGTGCGAATTTTCTATCTGTGGGTGCTATGACGTCCTTTTTTGAGCCAACTTTCTCGAACTCGGCTCTTTTTTTTTTTTTTGGAAGTCAGATATTTACGAGCAGCCTGTACAGCCCCAGGGGTTAGTCGAGTAGTAGGTCGACTTGCCGATTTGCAACGGTGTCCTCGTGCGATCGGTTAGTAAGTGACCCGCTACTCGACCTGAACAGCCCAAGGGTGTTGACCAGATTCTCCTTCTCAATCTTCTTCTTCTTCTTCTTCTTCTTCTTCTTTGTCCTTTTTTTTTTGTTTTGTTTTGTTTTTTTCTGTTTCCGTTTTTCCTTAAAAACAACTTCGCCTTTTTGCCGAGGAGGCGCCTCCTTTCCATTACGGAGCACAACCTGTACTTTCTGGTCCAGTCTATTTTTTTTTTTTGCAAATCTCGTGCTTCCTTTTCCTCCTCCTCCTCCTCCTCCTCCTCTACTCCCTCCTCTTCCTCTTCTGCCTCCTCTTCTTTCTCATCACTTCGTTTTCTTGTCGCCTTTTCCTCCTCCTCCTCCGGCTCCTAATCACTTAGCCCTCTTGTCATCCTCCCCCTCCCCCTCCTCCTCCCCCTCCTCCCCCTCCTCCTGCTCAACGTCACTAAGCCTTCCTGTCATCCTCCTCTCTCCTCCTCCTCCCTCCCTCCGCCTCAAAGGGATTTTAAAAAGATGAGGACGAGGAAAACAAAGACGAACACAATTATCTATGCTGCCGCTGCTGCTGATAACGGGGACGAGGGGGGTGGTATTTCAACGAAGATATAGCTGGGAGGATGGCGCGGGAGGAGGAGGAGGAGGAGGAGGAGGAGCAGGCTGGCCAAAACCTGGTCTTTTCTCAAAAAAAAAAAGAGAAAGCTGCGGATTCTTCGGCCAGCGCTCTTTCACTCGTTTTCCTCCTCCTCGTCCTCCTCTTTCCCCCTCTCCTCCTCCTCCGTCGTCGTCGTCTTCCTTTTCCTCCTTCCACTGACGTAGATTGTTTTGGAGAAAACATCAACCGTCTGTAGGGCCTGCTGAGACCCGATCGGGGGAGAACGACGAGGAGGAGGAGGAGGAGGAAGTAGTAGTAGTAGTGGTATTAGAAGAAGAAGAAGAAGAATTGCATTCTCACTCCAGACAGCAATCTGTCCGTCCGCACCGATCCAAGGATCGAACACACGACCTTCACGTTAAGAGGTAAACACTCAACCAAACAGCTAAGTGGACTGGGGTGAAAGTTAAGCCCCAAGATGAGTACTTTAACCCCACGCCAGCACGGGTACTCGTTTTTCCCCGCGAGCCTGTGTACCCAGTCATGCACGCGCACCCAACCAGGGTGTGTAGACGCAGCCACCATACAATGTACGACCTCGCTGCTGGTTGCTACGCAGGTAAGAATTGCATTCTCACTCCAGACAGCAATCTGTCCATCCGCACCGATCCAAGGATCGAACATGCGACCTCCACGTTAACAGGTAAACACTCAACCAAACGGCTAAGTGGACTGGGGTGAAAGTTAAGCCCCAAGATGAAGAAGAAGAAGAAGAAGAAGAAAGGAGGTAAGCAATGGCCAAATTGCTCTTCACAAGCAATGGAAAACTTCAATTTCTACAAGCGTGTGCACTGCTCAAACTCGCACGACCGATGGGCAATCAGCTCGTTCGAACATGAGAATGGACATGAAGAGATCTCGAGGACTGGCTGACCAGGTTTTCTTTCTGTCTTTCTTTCTTCTTCTTCTTGGTTTTTTTTTTTTTTTTTTTTTTTTTTTGACTGACGAGGTTTCTGTGGTTTTTGGCGGTTGATCGTGGTTATGATAATCTACCGTGCACAACAGAGACTGAAGGCAAGTGGGTGAGTCGGCCTTTGAGAGACTGCTGCCGAGCCTAATCACATTGCACTGCTTAAAAAACAAAAAAAAAAATATTATTAAAAAAAAAAAAAAAATCACCGTAACAGCAGAGCGGTGGTGGTCGCGGGCGTTTTGACGGCAGCGGATGAAAAGGGAAGCGTAGCTACAGTGTTGTTTGTGCAACCCAAAAAAAAAAAAAAAAAAAAAAAAAAGCAGTGGTTGCAGAACAGGGCCTGTGATGAAGGTTGCCATTGTCGGCTCGGGCGTTTCCGGGCTGTCTGCGGCATGGGAAATCGTGAAGGCAGGGCACGAAGTGGTTCTGTACGAAAAGGACAACCACGTGGGAGGCCATGCATGGACACTGAACGTGGACGGCATTGCGGTTGACGTCGGTTTCATGGTCTTCAACAGGGTAAGCAACCCATCGATTCCGTTTCGATGTTTGGATCCCCGCTTTCTCTGTGTGTGTGTGTGTGTGTGTGTGTGTGTGTGTGTGTGTGTTTTAATCTTCTCGGGAAAAAAAGGGACTGCCGATCTTTTGTCTGCATGCATGCATGCATGCACGAGTTTGTAGCTAAAAAAAGGGGAAAAAAAAAAAAAATGGTTTTGCTTTTGTTAGGCCTCGGACACACACATGGGTTGGAGGGAATCGATTGCAGGTTTGGATCAGTCACCTGCTTGCGAACCGTACGGCCATTATCGCTGTATCTAGACTGAAAGTTGCCCCAAATGCACAACTATAATTACCGGGGGTGGAGGGAATTAGGAGATGGGTTGGAGGGAATGGATTGCAGGTTTGGATCAGTCACCTGCTTGAGAAGCATACGGCCATTATCGCTGTATCTAGACTGCAGGTTGCCCCAAATGCACAACTATAATTACCCGGGGTAGTAAGATGGTAATAACGAGATGGCAAACGACCGGAGGTATGCATCTTTGAAATCTCTCTTTTCTTCTTTGTCCGTTTGCAGCTCTAGGTAGGCATTTTTTTAAATTGAAAGAAATCAAGTAAAAAAAAAAAACAAGTGGGACAAACTCGTGTGTGTGTGTGATTGATTGATTAGGTGACGGATGGATGACATCCACTGGTGTTTTTTTTTTTTTTTAAATTAATTTAGTAAAATAAATCGTTTGCAACTGTGTTGTGGGCATTGTCTTAAGCAGGTGACTTATCCAAATCTGGTGAAGTTCTTCGAAGAGCTGCCCGTCGAGATGGAGCAGTCGGACATGTCCTTCGCTGTGAGCCTGGATGGGGGTCGCGGTTGCGAATGGGGCAGCGCCGGGATCGGGGCCTTCCTGGCTCAGAAAAGCAACGTTGTCAACCCTCCGTTCCTTTTCATGATTCGTGAGATGCTCAGATTCGAACGCAATGTGCTAGAGTAAAGTCCCCATATATCCATCCATCCATCCATCCATTCTCCGCCTTTCTTTTTCTTGGCTCGGAACATATTAAAAAAAAAAAGAAAAAAAAAAGAAAACATTATTGTATCGTATCCTAGGCTACCAGCCGGGCCGCCCGGGTCCCGGGTGGCCAGCCCGTGCAAGGACCAGGGAAGGTCCCGGCAAAAAAAGAAAAAACAACAAATCCAAAAAATCCACAAAAAAACTATGCTATGCAGAAAAATAAACTGAACAACTTTTGCCTCAGGGTCACTTCGAAATTCTGCATCAAATTCAAAATTAAAAATAAAATTTAAAATTTTATTTTTTATTTTTATTTTTTTAAATGTTTTCGGCCCGGCCGGGCAAGTGACCCCGCGCCACTCTGGTAGCCTACATCTTATCCCTTTTTTTTTTTTTTTTTTTTTTTTTTTCCTACCATAAATTTGATCGTATCAGTTGATTGCTGTAGGATTTGAACTCATAAACTATTGATAAACAGGTACGCACATGTGTGGGTAGTACTGTGTGTGTACCATTCTGCCAGGCATACTCACATTTGAACTTAGGTAGCCAGGCATACTCACATCTGAACCACCTAGGCATATACTTACATCTGGAACGTTCTGGAATGCATCCGGTCACAGTTACTGCCAGTTTCAGTCCAGAAAGTTCACGTTTGAGTATGTCCTCAGCTCTCTCTCTCTCTCTCTCTCTCTCTCTCTCTCTCTCTCTCTCTCTCTCTCTCTCTCTCTGTGTCTTCGAAATTCTAAACGTGCTCTTCTTTTGCCTGCTTTCCCCTCTTTCTTGGCTCCTTTTCTTTTTTTAAACCACTAGTACATCCGAGCCTGCTATTGCCGACCCTGACTTTCACTGGGCACCGAAAGTTCCCGAGCCTGGGTCCAATTGGGTTCTCTTTTTCTCTTTTTCTTTTTTTCTTTTTTTTCTTTTTTTTAAAGAATTCATATTATTCCAAAATGATCACCGAGGCCGGGGACCTCATAATTCAACCTGGAAGTTATCCTGGCAGCCTCAGCCAGTTTAGCTTACAGTCAACAGACTGGGAAAACAAAAAGCTCACTTTCCACTGCCCAAAATCTACTGTACTTCCGGAAAAAAAAAAAAAAAAAAAAAAAAAAAAAACTATTGTACTCCGAACCTTCTAAATGAAACACGCCACCAAATTTCCTGTTGAGTCATTTTTTAATTTTAAGTGTTGAGGGGCACTCTACTGCCCACGCCTCTACCTAACGATGAACACTTCAAATGTAGCCGCTATACACTTCAAATGTAGCCGCTATTTCTGTATATTCCCGCCCTGCCTCCTGGCTATATTGGGTTCTCTTTTGATGTTCTTTTCGGAAATGAAAAAAAAAAAAAGAAAAAAAAAAAGGTTCTCTTTTGATGTTCTCTTCAGAAATGAAAAAAAAAGGAACAGTGAAAAAAAAAAAAAGCAACAATGCTAGGGACATGAAAGCAGCCGGATGCAGAATGTGGGGTACATGTGAGGTTAGGGAGGGTAGGCCCTCCCACAGGGCGTTACAGCCCTGCTGAAATCACGGCGGCAGGGGAGGAA